CCCCAAACAACATGTCCGAAGTATGAGAGATGAACGTTCAGCATCTTTGCCTCCAAGGATTACTCTAGCCGCACCTTTTCTTTTGTCCTTTTCGCACTCCACGGGATACTCAGCACTGTTCTCCAATACCACAACTCAGGGGAATTACTTCTTCTGTCATCCTTAGTCATTCTTTAGCTCACAGATACATAGCAAGCAATTGAAAAGACCATGATGTGGATCAGGCACACCCTAGTCTTAAAACTAACATCATTGTTCTTCATTATTTTGGAGAGGTCTCTGGCAGCAGTCTTGGCCAAGCAATGTGTCTCCTAACTGCTAATACCAAGTGTTTGGGTTGTGAATCTATGAAAGATGAAATCATTGACCATTTCAATCTGTTCTCAGTCTTTCATGATATTGCCTCTCCGCCCTTTCTTTTAGGACCTTTCTTTTCTTGATGTTGAGATGTAATCCATATTGAAAGCTGTAATCTTTGATCCTTTGTTGGAAGTAATTCGCGTCTTCCTCACTTTTAGCAAGTAAGGTTTTGTCAGTCTGCACAAAGCAAATTATTGATGAGTCTTCCTCTAAATCCTGTGCCACATTCCTCTTTATAGAGACCAACTTCAGGAACAATTTGTTGGTATACAGATTGAATAAGTATAGAGAAAAGTTACTCCCTGATTCACAACTTTTCTGATTTTAAAGTATGCAGGGTTGCCTTCCTCTGTTCAGACAACAGTTTCTTGATCTAGGTATAGATTTTTGCATGTGCGCAATTAAGCGTCACATCCATTTCAATGATGGACATAGTTTGTTGTGCTCCACACAGTCAAATGCCTTTGCATAGTCATTAATACACATAAGACTTTTTCTGGTGCTCTTTACTTTCAGGCAGGACCCATTTGATATCAGCAATGATATCCCTGATGCCAGGGCCTCGTCTGATTCCAGTTTGAACTTCTGGAAGTTCCCTGTACTGTTCCAGGCATTTTTGGGTGATATTTAGCAATATTTTGCTTACATGTGATATTAATGATATTGTTTGATAATTTACATGTTCTGTTAGGTCAGCCTTCTTGGGAATGGAAACAAATGTGGATTTCTTCAAGTCAGTCTGCGAGGCAGCTGTTCTCCAAATTTCGTGGCATTGACTGGTGAGCATGTCCAGGGTTGCATCTGTTACCTGAAATATGTCCCATCTATTTCTGAGGCCTCATTTTTTGCCAGAGACTTCAATACAGCTTAAACTTCTCTTTTTAACATTGACTCTTGTTCATACGGTATTTCCTAAAATTTTTCAGTGTAAGCCATTTAGTAAAGTACAATGATTCTGTATGTTACATCATCTAAGTCTGTGTTGTTGTAGCTATGTTCCAGGAGTCACCTGTGACTCATGCGACCCAATGTACAACAGCACTGAAGCCTGCCTTGTCCTGAGCCAGTCTCATTGACTTTGACACACCTACCTTCATTGCCTCAGTTACTGTATCAATCCATCTCATCCAGGGTATTCTCCTCTACACCATCCAAGGACTGGTCTTTCCTGCCCATATGCCCAAAGTATATGAGATGGAGCTTCAACATCCTTGATTCCAAGAAGCACCTTGGTTTCATCCTCTCCAGGACAAACTTGTTTGTTCTCCTGCTGATCCATAGTATATGGTCAATACTCTTCCAGCACCACAACTCTTAAAGGCATCAATTCTTCAGTCATCCTTAGCCATTGTCCAGCTCTGATACATAGCAAGTAATTGTGAAGTCTATGACCTGGATCTGGTGCACTTTGGTCTCTAGACTGAGTTCATTGCTCTTTAGAACTTTGAAGAGGTTCCTAGAAGCAGACTTTGCCAGTGCAATTCACCTTTTGATTTCTTGACTGCTGGTGCAGAGTTGATTGTGGAACTGAGGAAGCTGAAGTTATTAACAACTTCAATCTCTTCTCCATCCATCATGGTGCTTCCAGTTTGCACAGTGGGGAGAATTGTTGTCTTCTTGATGTCAAGCTTCAGTCCATATTGAAAACGACAGTCCTTGACCTTCTGCTGCAAATGCTTCGTGACCTCTTCAGTTTCAGCAAGCAAGGAAGTATCATTTGTATAATGCAGGTTGTTCATGAGTCTTCCTTCGGTCTTGATGACACACTCCTCCTCATAGAGTCCAGCCTCCCAAATGATCTTTTCATCATGAAAATTAAAAAGGTAAGGAGACAGGATGCATCCTGGATGTACTCCCTTTCTAATTTTTAATCATTCCATGTTTCCTTGCTTTGTTCTGGCAAATGCCTTCTGGTCCAAATATAGATTTCACATGAATACAATCAAGTGTTCTGGGATTCGCATTCTTCTCAAGGTTAGCCACAATTTGTTCTGTTATACACAGTCCATAACTTTTTAATTTATATGTGAAATAGACCATCTGGGAGACTAGGCTCTCTGGGGAGTAATGTGGCATCAGAATTGGGGGAGGAGTCATCAATAACCTGCACTATGCTGATGACAGAACTGTGTTTGCCAAAACTGAGAAGGACATCCGGCACTTGCCACAGAAGGTCAAAGACTACAGCCTTCAACACAGATTGAAGTTCAACACCAAGAAAACAAAGATTCCCACCACTGAGCCAACTGGCAGCTTCATGATAGTCAGATAAGAGACTAAGATAATTAATAATTCAGCTTGCTGGTTCCACAATCAACACTCTTGGCACTAGCAGTCAAGAAATAAAAAGACAAATTGCATTGGGAAAGTCTGCTGTCAGAAACATCTCCAGAGTACTGAAGAGCAATGTTGTCATTCTAGAGACTAAGGTACACCTGATCCAGGGCATGACCTTCACAATTACTTGCTATTCATCTGATAACTGAACAGTTACTAAGGATGATAGAAGAAGGTTTGATGTCTTTGAGCTGTGGTGCTGAAGAAGAGTATTGAACACAGCACAGACTGACAAGAGAGCAAACAGGTCTGTCTTGGATAACGTGAAACTAGGATATTCCTTGTAAATAAAGATTTTGAAAATGTCTCACATACTTTGGGTATGTTGTCAGGAGGGGCAAGTCCTTGGAGAGGGACATCATGTTTAGATGAGTGGAAGGTCAGCACAGGAGAGGAAGACCCTGGATGAGGTGGTTTAACACAGTGACTGTGGCAGTGGGGTCTGTGGTGTCAGAGATGAGAAATTTGGCTCAGGATAGAGCAAGGTTCAGAGCTGTTTTTCACAGGATTGCTATGAGCCTTTATGAACTAGATGGCACATAATAACAGCAAGAACAGGTGGAAATACCTTACGTCCAGATGCATTTACTGGGTTATCATTGTTTTGTAATATTCTTTACATACACACCCATGTTTATTGTAGCAATATTTATAATAACAAAACAATGGAAACAACCCAAGTGTTCATTAATGGATATATTATGAATAAAAAAACCTATGGGCTATTCATACAATGAAGAAGTATAGAAATAAAGAATTAACAGAATACTGCATAATATAGATGATTCTGGACATTATGTCAGTCAGTACACAACAATAACTATTATAAGAAACTTAAAAATTAGGTTTACACACATAATCATTCTTGTATAAGTACCAGGGATGGATATAGAGGAAGAGAGCCATGAAAATGAATAAATAGACAATAGATCATTATTGAGTTTGTTAATGGTTACCAGGGCAGTTGAGAAGGGATAAGAAAAGATAGGCTCATTGTTTAAGAGACAAATGCTAAGTTTCTCTTAAGTATGATGGAAAAATTTGGGAATGATTGTGATGGTTGAACAATGTGATTAATGTCATTGCTGTCACTGAATTGCACATTGTAAACATTTCATTGTATATATGATTAACAACTATGAAAAAGAATGTTGAAAGTAAATTATTAGGGAAAAATATTTGGAAAAAAGGCAAGAATTTCTATATTCCCCACAAGGTGTTGTGAACAGGCACTCATATATTATTGATGAATACATAATGTATATACAGTGTGTCAAAATGTGGAACTATCAATAAACTTAGGAATTTGTCTAAAACAACTATCATACAGATGGAAAAACCATATATCTAGCAATGTTTATTATAGCATTGTTTATCAATCAAATGGTGGATCTTTAAGTAAATCATAGCAAACAAAATCAAATATAGTCATTAACAATGATGAGAGATATTTCAATTTTTTAACCACAGTAATATGCCTAAGATATGTTGTGGAAATTAATGTGAGTGAAAACCAGACTGCAAATTAGCATAGGCAATCAGCCGGATCCACTTAAAAACAGTTAATTTTTAAAAAGAAAAAAAAAGAAGCCAATTTTTTAAGGTTTTTTGTTTTGTTTTGTTTTTTTTATTTTTGGTTTGTTTGTGTTTTGTTTTAAGTTTATCTGCCAAGGATACTCTCTTGGAATGGAAAAGTCTCTATGACTTTGATGATATGTTAAATAGGTTTGTAACTGACCCAAGTATATAAGCCAATACTGCCTGGAAACCGGGGAAGAATTAGTCCATTGTTTCTCAGATTTGAAATTAAAGTACTTTGGATATTGCAACCCACAACAGTCCATATTTGTCATCTCGACTAAGGGGGCAATGGCCCCTTGTGTCCAGTAACAGTAGCTGCTATGCACTCATGTAACTTGGGGTGACTTTATGTAATAGTATAACTTGATAGCATAGCAATTACTTATTGTGTATATAATTTTTACTAAATGCTAATTTAAATATGACTTCAATCCATCCAATTCTACCTTTTAAGAACTGATTAAAAGTCCAAATGCTCCATTAAATACTGTTTTATTTCAACAGAAATGCTTGTAACAGTGAAGCGTATCATATAGCTTTTGATTATTTCTTTTTTCTCGACTATTATACCTGCAACATTTTAACAAATTTGAGATTGTACATTATTTCATTTACCCATCATTTCTTTAGTAGATCATCAACCCACTGACACTGGACTCATTGAAGATGCCAATAAATACTTACTGGTTGGTAATTTATCCCTTTTAGATTAAAAAACATTATTATCTTCCACATATAGCATGCAACCTCCCCAAAACTTTCTCCCGGATCTGCCGGGTCTTTACACAATACACAATAGGATTCATCAGTGGAGGCACCAATAAGAACACATCCGCAATGAGAATCATAACCAAGGGGCTTTTGTGCTTGGCAAAGCGATGCATGGCAGACAGTGTGATGATGGGCACATAGAAGATAAGCACAGCACAGATGTGGGAGACACACGTGTTCAGAGCTTTGAGCCTCTCTTCCAGAGATCCAATGCTCATTACAGTTTTCAAGATTAGCACATATGACAAAAATATCATTGCCAAGTCCAGCATAGTACAGAGAGCAACAAAGAAGCCATAGATGACATTGACCCTGTTATCAGAGCACGCCAGCTTCATAGTATCTTGATGAAAGCAATATGAGTGAGAAAGGATATTCTTACGGCAGTATTTTAGTCTCTTTAGAATGAAGGGGAATGGGAGCACTAAAAGAAAGCTCCTGAAGGCCATGGTCAGACCTATTTTAGCAACCCTGTTGCTAGTGAGGATGGAACTATACCTCAGAGGATTATGAATGGCAAGAAATCGATCCAAAGACATAATCAGAAGCACTGAGGATTCCATCACAGTGAATCCATGAATGAAGAACTCTTGGGCAAAGCAAGCGTTGGGGCTTATTCCCATAGCATTAAATAAGAATATCCTCAGCATAGTAGGAAGGGAGGAGAGAGACAGGCCCAGGTCAGAGACAGCCAACATGGCAAGAAAATAATACATGGGAGCATGGAGGGAAGATTCTGTCTTTATGATAAAAAGAATGGTGCAGTTACCAGTGATGGCCACCAGGTACATGAGGCAGATGGGGATGGCAATCCAGACGTGGGCATGTTCCAATTCTGGGATTCCAATCAGAAGGAAAAGCTGGACCTCGGAATTATTGAGACTAGACATGAGTAGGAATATGAATTCTTTACCCAGTTCTGAAACCATACAAATAAAATGCAGTTACAGATTTGTTTTGTTTTCTTTTTAAAAGACAATTTTATTAGGAAAAATAAAAACCAAACTCACTTTCATGGATTTTATTTCAGCTCTTAACAATCCTACATCTGGTTCTGAACTTGTAAATTATTACGGAGGACATAGCTTTCTCCCATGGAACAGCTGATGCATGCAATCACTGACCTTTAAAACAGCAGTGCAAAGTATAATTGCTTATGCCATCAGTGCTCCTTCCTGAGTAAAACATAGATCTTATATATACACTATATTAAAAAGTATATTCAGTACAATATTAAGTTTCAAAATTTATCAAAGTTCTTTAATATTCTCATGCTCTTCAACACAGCAATAATACTTTCAACAACTCATCCTAGGTAATTTGTTTTCCAGCATTAAATTCTGTTTGAAAATATAACAGAGTAATTACTTTAAGTGGAATAATTTTGCCTGCTCTATTTTCAATATAACCATCAGCAACCCATTAGTTGGCATCACAAGACTGCTCATTTTTGTGGAAGAGAATTTAAAAAATATTGTTCTAAGGAAATAATCAGAGATAACTAGGGATAATTACATTTATAAATATTAAATCTGTAAATTAAGATTGTATTTATACAGCACCATCTGATTTAAAATTCATTCTGACTAATAAAATCTCATCTCTGTCAGAATATTCTTTATGAGTTTCAATGTTGAATGTTTCAGAAGTGGACAGCCAGTCCTTCTTCTGAGGCACCACTGAACAGTCTTGAACTGCAACACTGTTGGTTACCAGACAAGGGTGCTATCTCCATAAGCTAGGAATCCCAAGCTTATGAGATGGGTACTTATGAGTCACTATTTATGCATATGTATATATATTCCACAAAGAATTACCTGAAGGCAAACACAAAAAAATGTGTGTTCAGATATATTTGACGTATTTTGCTTGAGTTTTAAATACATTATTTAATCTACACAAACTTCAACTTTTAGGTCTGTTAAAAAATAAAAATTTTGATAACTTTTAAAATACTTACATATATTTGTTAAATGCTAAACACAGATATGGTCATGACATTGCAAATAGGTATCTTTAAACATTAATTTAAAAATGCAATGGTTTTTATATAGATCATGTTGGAAAATTTGAATACTGGACACAACTTTGAAGTCAAGTGTCTTGTCTTCACAAATGTATTATATATAAAATATCATAGCTCCTAACTTGCACACCAGTGAATACCACTCGGCTCACTTCCAAGGGATATACTGAAGCTCTGCAGTAGCATATAGCTGTTCAATTTACCTCCTTCTCAGATAATCCAATTTTAAGTGAGGAAACCCCACAATATCTAACTTATCTTCATACTGTAAAAATTTAAAAAATTCACAATATATGAAAAGAAACTAAAACCTGATTTTAGTTTTAGATTCTCTTTTAAAGAAATAACAAATGATATTTTGAAGGTGAAATACAAAATATTGCAACTTATTACCAAATGTTTCAACTTCAGCATATCCTTCTTTTGAACAACTGGTATAAACAGACACACACAATTATGTTAGCTAATCATCATAAACATATTTATCTTTTGTAAATGTGTGAATAAAAGCTTATGAGATGAATAATTTAAATAGCAAAACATGACAAAAAGAAGATGAAAAAAGGCAATTTTTTTTTTTTTCAGGTAAAGCTGGAGTTCATTTGCCGTATTAACCTCACTCCAAAATTATATAGAATTTCAAACATCAATAGAAAATGATTTAAATCTTCAGTGGAAAAATGAAGAATATGAAAGTTATTCCTTTACATTAAAGCTTGATTGTGGGTTATTATTGAATTTTGCAATTTTGTTTATACCTAAGACAAACGCAGTATGCGTTAATTATCTTTACATGAATACATTTCATTTTGAAGTCATGCCTACCCAGATATGTTTAATTTATCTTTAAACAACCACACCTCCAGACTAGACGTCTCTAAACATTTGAACCATGTAGTTTATGTAGTGAGTCATCTCTCACTAATGCCCCACTCTGAAGAAATTTTGGGGATGATGGGAGATTCTCCCATGAAAATCCCATGAAGGTCATTCCAAAGATAACAGATCAGATTATGTCTAATTAACAAACATGATTCTGATTCCCTCTTCTCTGAAGTAATAGAAATGTTCTCAACTTCCCAAACTACCAGCCTTTATTATATTTTTCCCTGCCTTATTTATTTTGATCATTTAGATAACACTTCTATTGTTTACCTTTATTATTGAAGTTTCTACACTGTTTTCTAATGCTTTATTTTTGTGTATCACTATTCAGTGAAGCCTTGGTTTTGCCATAATATACACATACAGTGTATATGCACTGATTAATAATACCAAAATGGATAAATTGAGACTAATTTACCTTTTATTTGTTATTTTAAGGGAAGTTTACAGAAAAGTTGACTTTTCATTCATTCATTGCTGATTGATTTAAGTTTTATGTATTGGTCATCATCATCATAGAACTTGCAATAGATAGTACGCAAAGAATGAATGTGAATGGAAAAACATGCAAGACATAGAATGGGAGAATTCTCAGTACCTTCCTCCCTACATAATGGTAACAACGTGATATTGATTTTCACTGGTAAATTCATTCTCATGTGGCATATGCATTTTGATTTGGAGTCTAAACTTCAAGTCACATGCCTCAACATGCCTCTCAACTTAGAAACACTAGCATGGCTTTTGTCTCTATAGATATTGGAGTAGATAAAATCACCCAGGAAAGACTGATAAAGGCACTATTTGAATCTCAGGTAGAACTCTGAGAACCAGCAATACTGTTGAGGGTTAACTATAAATACCGATATTGGTGGAAGGGAAAGAAACCAGGAGGGCTTAATGTAATGGATGGTAAAAGGAAAGAGTTGATCCTCATGTTAAATGTTGAGCAAACTTGTTAAATTTTCTCCTCTTTAAGGTAAGAAGTAAACCCTAAGGCTGAAACTACAAATTTGGGCATTAATTTCAAGTGCTAAACACACCCTGTATGTGTAATTAGATAAATTACTTGGACCACCCAATAGTTGGTACGTCTTTTTTTTTTTTAAGTTGATACTTACAGCAAATGTTATAAATGGCATCTACCTCAAACTACTATTTTATACAGTATAATATAGTTCCCAGATAAGGAAGATAATCACTAAGTGCAAACTACTAATTATTTTCAAAAAACGTCCCAGTTGACTTTTCTTCACACCAAGTCCTACACAGGCCAATCTCTTTTTTTTTTTTTCCACAGTAAAGGTTAATTTGACTTGTCATTTTAACAAGTAAATGGGACCCTATCAATTTCAGAGTTAAAAAAAAATCCTTTTTATATTCTCAGACCCTGTAATACAACTAATTTTCCATTTCCGTACACACACCAATAACTAATTCTTCTTCCTCACAGTCATTTATCAAGACAGTTTACCTAAGTTATAGAATGGATTTAGTAACATAACTTTTGCTGCTGGCACTTACCAGAATTAGACTGCCAGTAGTTCCTAAATAGAAAGACATGAACTTCCCGCTTTGATCTTCATTTTATTTCTCTCTTTTTCCTCAGGGATTTGACCTCTAGTAGCAGTAGAAAAGCAGACTCTTTAATCTCCCAGAAATTCAACATGACATTGAGTCTGGGGTTCAGATGCTAAGTTATTGGTACATAAGGTCAAAAAGGAACTAGATACAATGTGTGGGAAATGTAATTAATAAATAAATACTAGAAATAGCATTTCCTCTCCAAAATATATTAAAAAAAAAAAACAACCCCAAACAACAAACCTCAAAGTGATGCAAATCTTGAGAAAAGCACATTAACTAAAGAACAAAAGGACCCAGTGAGATACTTATTACTTAGCTCACATTTGTATTTGAAGCATGTTGTTGTTGTTTGTTGTAGTTATTGTGTGCAGTGTCTGAACTAAACCTTAGCTGACGCTCCAGTGGTTTCAGAGGCAGTAAATCTTGTTAGGAGAGATAGCCCATCCTTTTCTCTCAGTACTGCTCATGGGTTCAAATCGCATTGCTTTGGGATTGCAGCACAGCTTCTCCTCATTAGGTCAACAGAGTTCCCTTTTTTGAAGCATAAGAAAATAAATGTATTTCTCAAATCCTGAAGTGACCTTTTGTCATGTAAATATTTCTGTCATCCTTGTAAATGTGAAAATATGAGAATGTTGCTAAACAAAAACACCTGGACACAACCTTAGAATTAGGAACTCTAAGAAGTATAAAGGTAATATTCAATATGATGGTACAACAGAACAGTGGAACAATTCAGGAAGAAGACAAGAAGGAGATATGCAGGCTATAACTGGATTTAGTTGAAGAAGCTTAATATGTGGCATCCAAGGTGAAGAGACAGAATAGGTAAAAGAGCCAACAATTTTAATACTTTAATTGCAATTCCAGGCCATACCACTTTACTTTTCTCTATTGTTTTGGTTGTTGTTAAGTGACATCGAGTCAATTACAAATCATAGAAACCCTATGAATCGCAGATATGAACTCTGTCCTATGCTGCACCATTCTTATCATCCCACATACACACTGAAGCTCATTACCACACTCAGGGTCACTCATTGACCACTCCACCTTTCTAAGCATGGTGCCCCTTTCCAAGGAATAGCCTCTCTTAACAACATGCCCAAGGTATATGAGATGAAGCTTTGTCATCTTTGCCGCCAAGGAGCACTCTGGTTGTACCATCTCCAAGACATAATTATTTGCTCTTTTGGCAGTTCATGGGACATTCAGCACTCTTCTCCAATAGCATAACTCAAATGCATCCATTTTCCTTCTATTGTCTTTATTCAATTTTCAGCTGTCAGGTGCACAGGAGGTGATTAGAAAAGCCATGGCTTGAATCATGTGCACCTTATTCTTTAAACTGATATCATTGCTCTTCAGGACTTGGAAAGGTTCCTGACAGCA